GCCGGCCCGGCATACATGTAAATATAGGTTGCCTAATACAAGGGGCTTATTTTTCGGTACGTATCGAAATTCTGGCCGTTTTTACATTTTGGTATCAGGAGCACATGATATGCGAAGAGGTGGCACGAGGAATACCAGGTACGTATCAAAATTCTGAGGAAATTTTACATTTTAATATCAGGAGAACATGATACTCAAAGAAGTTGCATAATTTTTAATTAAATATCGATACTTACCTCTTGTATCAGGTGAACGTAATGAGCGAGTAGGTATAATTTTTATTTTCTGCTTGAAACTTACCTCTTGGATCAGGAGAACTGAATGTGCGAGTTGGTATCATAATTTTTATTTCTTTGCTCGATACTTACCTCTTGTATCAGGAGAACGTAATTTGTGAGTTGGTATCATAATATTTATTTTTTGCTTGAAACTTACCTCTTGTATCAGGAGAACCGAATGTGCGAGTTGGTCTCATAATTTTTATTTCTTTGCTCGATACTTACTTCTTGTATCAGGAGAACGTAATGTGTGAGTTGGTATCATAATTTTTATTTTTTGCTTGAAACTTACCTTTGGTATGAGGAGATTATGATGAACGAGGAGGGGGGACATTAATCGAATTTGGGTCGAATTTCACGTCTGATATTATAAGAACATGATATTCGAAGAGCTGGCATAAAGTTTTACCGTGAATCTCCAATAAGAGTTCATTCTGAACCGTGATTCTTATTAATACTTAATCGAGGACTGAATGTTACTATATGCATTGTAAATATTCAATTAATTCGGAGATGTACATATTTAATGCATTTCAAAGTTTTAGATTATTATATCAACGTTTTTCGAGAAAGTAATATTTTCATACACGAAAAGTTGAGAATAAGGTATTTTTCTATATTTTAATATCTATTGATTACAACAATTAAAACTTAATAATTCCGACATAATTAAACATTTGTGAGATATTCAGCATCATTCAGTGTTTAATTAAACATTAATAACAATAATGGCTCAGAATAAGTATTCATTCGAGATAATTAATCGTGAGAAATTTGTCGTTCGTTCAGTTATAAAGAACTTATCTTGGGAATCTCCAATAAGAGTCCGTTCTGTTTATGTGTAATTTTTCTCTATAAAAAAGTAAGCTAAGAGAAAAACGTAAAGCAGTAGATTGAAGAATTAATCAGTATAAGAATTTACAGAAAGTCTGATAAGCGAAAGAAATAACAATAAATATACAATTTTGAAATGAATTTTGAAAAAGATCATTTAACCCCGCTTGGTACGTTCAGTGCCACCATATATATCAGGAAAATTCATAGAAGAACTCATCGAAGTGCGTACTTTTAATTTACGCATAAAATATCCATAATAGATATTTCGTATGATCAGAAAAAATTCTCAAATGCGATCATTCTTTCAGAGTTGTTCCACTTTAAGTGGCAGCGAGTACGTAGAGGGGAAGGATAATAAAAAGTAAATAAACGTACCCTCTACAGATACATCCAGGCCGGACTAAAGCGCCCAAGGGCGTTTCCATGAAGAGCGAAAGCCGATCTTGTACGCTTTCCGACCGGTGAATTAAAGGAAGTAACGGAGCCCCGATGCGTGGAAATTTCTTCCTGAAAACTCGCCGGTAAAACGCAGGAGGCGCGTCGTTGCACCAAATGCAGAAACCGGTTTATCACTATCTCTCTCACTCTTCCACGGAGATGCGGCAAGGTCCTCCACCTTTTGCACCGTGTGTCCCTCAAACCTCTCCGTTCATTTTCGTCGCGTCTCGTCCTTCCATGCGCCGCTCTCGATATCTCGCGAAACGATACTGTTTTTTCTTCGACCGCATCCCTGCGGCGCGACGGCTTTTTCACGGCTGAAAACTTCACCCTCCGCGGTCAGACATCTTTCCGTTTCCCTGGCCACGGAATCTCGCGATTCATTTATTCATCAACGATTTTATTGCTCCTTTTCGAAGCAATACGAATATATTAATCCTTTGACTGCGCGACGATTTTTCTTGGAAGTTCTAAGAGCCGTGGAGTCGTGAATTTCAAAAAAGAAACATCAGCTTATACGGAACATTTCTATATTTACAGTTTATTTATAGGATGTCTAGTTTCTAAAATAAAAATTAAAAACTTGAAAGACCTTTTTCCTGAGATCTCGTAGCGATCTGATTCTGTTGTTGTTGTTTTCAAGAGAAAAAAATGAGTCGAACAATTGAATTTAAAAAAGCACCGTATAGAGAACGACAAAACGAAACGATTTTGTATACATGTACAGTTTATTCATGTGACGTTTCATTTCAGACATAAAAATTGAAAACTTAGACCATTTTCCTGAAATTCAATTTTCCCAACAAATCTCTAACTTCATGAACTGCGTTATTTTTGGTTGGATGCCTTTGTCGATAAACTGAATTGTCATTTTTCGCGTGACAACAATCTACAAAATTTCCAACAGAAGTCTTTGTATCCGTAAAAGATCAATGCATTCAATGCATTCAATGCAAACTAAGAATGGCTTTAACTCTGTCCCCTCTCAAGGCAAAGTCATATCGAAATTTTTAACTCCCCGCCCCTTCCACTCGAGATCCTTACGTAATTAATGAACAGCCCCCAATTACATGGTTTGTAATATAGACCGAGGTGGTCGATCTTCGATTAATTTTTATTTATTCAATTTATTCGTTTCTTTAAATTGTATAAAATTCTGGTTTGTGTTGAATGCGACACCGCATAAACACGAAAGGGTTAAATGTTCGAACAGACGATGTCGCGGTCATTAAATACAAAATACGCTACGGTTTTTCTCCGTGTAGTTTACGCTCGAGGGAATACCCGATCTAGATCTAGAGCGACACCTGTCTCTCACAAGTATATCTCTTTGTGACGCAAAGTTATGGCAATGGTTACGTCGTAACGTCCTACGCGGTTCCAGTGGCCGAGCTGCCCGAGCAATTCCCGTGACGTCCGTGCAGAGATTCTCGAAGTGATTGCACTGTTTGCGACTCTTTTTGCTATTTAAAGTTTCCTGTGGTCTCCGGAGAAGGATAGACGGGTGTAGTAATACGTGATGAATATTTGCCGTGAACGTTATACGGATAATTACGGTCTGTCTAACGAGAGCATGTACACCTACGCTTATAAATATGCGCACACTTACTCAATCGAAATACATATCTAAAGGAAATTACGAATCTGTTAATGAATATCACTCATGTATTTGTACATACTTTGTATCGCATTAGACAATATATTTCACCAATTATTTATTTAATATTTCAGGAGGAATGATAGAAGCAATTCTATTTTCTTTTCATTAATCTATCCGCTATGCGCTCTTAAAATTTCTTTTGCCAATCTTGACGCCCTAGCTATTAATTTCTTCGTTGTATCCAAACTGATATTATTTATTTTCTTTTGTAATATCTCGTTGTACATGTTTTTCAGATGTTGGACATTATTTCTATCTAAATGAAAACTCTAATAATATACTGTTTGATTATATTCAATGATATCGTTGTATCAAAATAATATTATTTATTTTATTTGTAATATCTCGTTGTAAATGTTTCTCAGACGTTGGACATTTTTTTCTGTCTAAATTAAAACTTTAGTAATATACAATATAATATTATTAAATATTACAAACTGTAAATAGACATCCATAGTAGAATTTACCAACAAAAGATCGTATAATAATAATTTATAGTGTTTATTAATTACTCGTTGAAGGTAGTAAATGTCCATGTCGTAATCTCCGAATGGCTCAACGTAATTAAATAAAGTAACTCGTAGTTGCTTTGTTCGTCATTCCTTTACTTCGCATTAAAAGAAAAGTTGTAGTAATCATCCAGTTTTTGCGAGGATACGACGCTTTGAAGTATGAGTTCTGTGTACGCGAAACAATTCGAAACAGTGTTCTCGCGTTCGCATCTAAGAGGGCTCAAAATATCGATCAAAGCGGCTGACAAATATATAAATTGGTGAAAATGCCGAACAGGAAACCCCGCCCCAAGAACCTTAACCTTGACATATGTTGTCAAGGTCAAGGTCATCGGAGCTAGCTGTGCCAAAATGAAGTGTACTCGTAATCTATGTTTAACTAAAGTTTTTTACGAACATCTCGGAAACTAAGGGGCGGTGACATGTATAGGGATAAGTTGTTCAGGATGATGACCTTGACAAAATATTTCAAGGTCATCAAAAACCGGCGAGGAGGGAAAACTTTTAAATAATTACCACAACTTCCAATAGTACTCTTAAAAATAATCCTAACAGGCATCATTACTTGTATTAAAGAAAAATTATAGTAATATAGAAAAGTACAATTAAATGGAGCAATTACAATCATGCATCGGATTTACTAGAGCAATCAAGAACTATATTATCCACATAGTTGTAATATACATAAAATATATTTCGTGTATTATTTATTTGTTCGTAAAGATGAATGTTATTTAGTAATAATATTGCGGTAGTATACAAAAATTGTATTTATTAAAGAAGGAAAAATGTAATGTGATCATTACAAATTTTTTCTCGACGTTTCGTACATTCTTCAAGAATTAAGTCCTTAAATAATTAATTATTTATATTTAGAAATCAGAAAGTAGCACAAAAGCGTGGCAACATTAACGTCAATTACTATAGCCACTCCTATATCGTTATAAATATTAATCAGTTTGGTTTCCAACTGCATAACAAGTGAAATGAAAAGTACTTTTACTAACGGCACGTGTCTCTCGTAATACAAAATACTCGCTGACCTCGATTTTTTGTTCCATACGTTTCACCTCGACAGGGTATATTAATTGTAATTATTTAATTATTTTACGACCACATTCTTAACAATGTTTTCGAATGACAACGATTTTTGGTTGCTTTGAAGAGTTCAATAATTACAACGACTTTCAGTAAATATTCAAAATATCCAAATATTTTAATCAGCGATACTAAACGGACCAAAGGAAAATTTCTTTTCCATTGCACTTAAAGTAAATCACGTAAATGAATTTAAGTTCCAGTTTTAAAGTTATTAAGCTTTCAATTTTTTTCATTTGTAAGTAAAGAAATCCAAACAGCGAATTTCAGCAGCCACGAGCGACCCCCACGTGACACGCAGAACAACAAACGCAGAACCGTACTCGGTACCATGTATCTCAAGGTCAAGGTCATCGTTAGGATTCAAGGCTTTTGCAAGTAATCACCTCCCCTTTTCGCGCTGCGTAGTAATCTCTTCGACTCGAGGTACCGAGCAAAGAAACATTTACTCAAATTAATAAGAAAATAAAGTGCTGGAGATTCGCAAGTGTCAAATTCTACCAGGCTATCTTCGCGAATCGCGTTATCAATGCTGAATCGATTTACCGGTAATCTCTTCGACTCGTGGAACCGAGCAAAGAAACATTTACTCAAATAAATAAGAAAATAAAGTGCTGGAGATTCGCAAGTGTCAAATTCTACCAGGCTATCTTCGCGAATCGCGTTATCAATGCTGAATCGATTTACCGGAAATCCTGACCACCGGAGGGGTGAACGGTCATGCTAAGTCGGCGACCAATTCGACCGGCGTTTCAATTTTTGCGCCAATCTTCGCGAACCCACCGACGCCATGACGTATTCGCGAGCCTCCGGGGGAAACGTCGTCCAATGATCCGTTTATCTCGACGTCTTACGGCGATCTCGACGCCACGCACCGCTGGACCCTTCGCCACTGGTTCCCCGCACGAAACACACAAATTCCCAACCGGTTCACCTGTTCACGATATAGGCCACTCGAAAGCGCACCGTCGATGGATCGCGATTTACGACTGGATCGAGATATTCTCGAAGGCGAGATCGACGCGTCGGCGGCGGCGAAACAACCGAGCACGCGAACGATCACGGACTGAAAGGCTCCTTACACAAGCGACTCGCCGTAGCCAACCGCGTGACCGGACACGAGGACGTAAACAAAGCGTGGAAGACGATTGGCCGAGACGCTACCTGGCCATTCAGGTATGTCAGATTCTTCGCGAAGCCGCCGCGGCTATCATCGGGATCACGGGATTTTTCGTGGATCATTATTCGACTTCATCGGTAACTCTTCGAGGCGTAGATGCGATTCATGGGGGTATTCTAGTCTAGAACGTTACAAAATATTCATTTTTCTTTTCGTTTTTTGAATTTTTTCAAAGCGTAGGGACGTCTGAAGAGAACAGTGTCCGCAACGACGTTATCAGCTACAGTTCATTTGGATACTGTATTTTAAATTTCTTCGCAGTTATTACTACACTTTCTTCGTTGGTAACGCGTAAAATGTGCAAAAGTGACATTCATTTTCAACCAGCAAGTAAGCGGAGATCGGGGTTTTAATCGTAATCGCACGTATACGTACAATTTTGTACGAGAAACTTCAAATGGACAAATTCAAGAGGCAACCTACGCGGTCTAAATAATTTTGTTGAACCTTTTATATTTTTATGCATAACAGAACAGCATTTATTCAGACGAATTCATAGACCTATCATACGTGGTCACTTTTTGTAATATAAAGATTTAAAACGAACGTAGATTTGAAGAAACGTAGAAACGTAGATTTAACGCAGCCCGTTAGTCGGTCAACAAGGATAAAGCATTCCCTATCCTTCTTCAGGGTGCTTTCTACGAGCCTCTCATCCCGTAATACAATGATCTTATACAAATGCAAACGATATACACTTTTATCAGGTTTTTGATCATTTTTTCACAATACTGGCGCACTGTTTTGCACGAGATTGCAAATTCTAAGTTCAAATGTGTAAAAATTCCCAAATGAACAATTACTTACTTTCGATATGAAAAGAAAAGTTGAATGCCAAGGTTATACTTTCGTTGAGCGAAGTAAAACTTGGAAAGTGTTACGAGATTACTGTATACAGGGTGCCCCAGAGCTCCTGTAAGAACCGGAAAGGGTTCTGGTGATCAAACGGAAATAATAAATTGAATTTACTGTTGCGTTCGATCACAAATCGCTTCTCAGCTTAGGGTTTACCGGTGCGCCGGATAACAGAACTGTATTTATTGAGCATCAACAAAAAATAAAAAAAAAAAAAAACTGTTTTTTGAAGTAAAGTATATAAGTCGTGTTATTTTTGATGCAAAGAGGTTTTCGACCACTGTCGTTCAATCTTTCATTGAGGACTTCTACGTTTTTTTTTTTCTATCGCTAAAAGCAAACGAATTATTCAGGTGGCATTTTTACAATCGATCACCCTGTGTACTATCGTGCCAATAACTTTATAAGTAGTTTCTTGAGGTCAAACTAAAAGTTTATCAATTTTGTATACCTTATAACTACGGAAAAAAATTGCTATTAATGCTCATAGAATAGTTCGCAAAATATGTTGGACCACTCGTACATCTTATTTTCATAAAATAGTTTTCGATTCACGTCACAGCACTTTCAATTAATTATCTAGCACTACTGGCTCCGCTCGACCGTTCGCTTGACTATTCATGTTTCCGCGTCAATTGACGGATTCGATGACAACCATCGTCGACCATTTGAAAAGAGGCCTAGCTTCTGTTACTTTCACTTTATTGTTCTCGGGTCTGGATGTCCAGTCACGTTCTTGGAACATGTTGCGAAGACTTGCTTCGGACGGACACCAAAGACGACAACATTTTTATCCAAATAACCATTTCGAATAACGAAAAGGAGACGAGTAACTGCTTATTCTGTATTCTTTGAAATTAAACACCTTACAACGAAAAACAGTTTTTCTGTTTAGAAGTACTTCCAACAATATTGAAATTAAGAGTAATTGTTATATTTTTTTCGAAGCAATCACAAATTGTATCCACATCACGATTCATAAAATATATCTGACGTATAATTTGTCACGCTGTAACATTAATCCATGCTTCGTGTTTCCTTTGAGACCTTGTTAGCAGTAGAAACTTTTTAAATTATTCAACACGTGCCGCCAGAGTACATCCATTTAACTTATAATCCAGTTATAAACTATATTCACAGACATCGTGGGAGTGTCAATGTTAGATGTTAATATTGTCACATTCATGCTGTATACGTGAAACTGTGAAAACTGTTACAAATTAACGGATATATTTTATCAAACGTGACAAATCGTGTTTTGTTGCTATTGGAAATCCAATAATTGTATAATGAAAAATTTCACAAAAGAAAAACGAAAATGTAACCATTCGACGCAACATGATCTGCGAATAAATTTTTACACGTACATTGTACCACCTTAAAACGTCGATGTTTGTTGTTTAACCTATTCAGTGCTATGGAATTTAAAAGTGTAAAAGCCAAAAGTGCCGAAATTCTGTTTGCATTCTGGATAGATTTTTGAAAATAAATAACAGTTCCTGAAGTGAATTTTCGAATTTATCCACGCCGCCTCTCAATGTTTTTTTTTTCACAAAATCAATTAATGTAATTACATCGAATTTCCACTTAAATATACGCAACGATCGTTGCTAGTATCATCGTGTAGTACGACAAAGGTTAACACTCTACATAAGCAATAACAGTCTGTGTTATTTGGCACTAACGCTGTGTGGTCCAGACTTGTTGATTTCGGTGGATTTTTGTCGAACCACCTTCGACATAAGACCGCAAGTTTTTAAAGGTTTCACATTATTTATTGCACCGAAACAATTTAATATTCCTACCACGTTAGTAATATTTTTCCAATGTTTCTTTCTAAAAGTGTTTCTAAGAGAACGAAGACGTCAAATTACTCTAAATCGAAGTATTTGGAAATGAATTCCCCGAAAATAAATACAAGTCCAAACATTTCCTTTTATACAATGTTCGTATCTATCTCGAGTGTTAAAAAAATGTATTTCTTATACATAGCGTAGCTTTTTATTACTGAAAAAATATTTAATATCGGTTCAGTAGTTCCAGAGATTACCCTCTATACATACATACAAATAAACAAACTTGACCTCTTTATAATACTAATACTTAAATATTCTGTGAAAGGAAAAGTCAGGATTCGCATTAATTTCCTTGTAATTAATTCGCGAAGAAGGCACTATTTTGGAGCAATCTGATTACACAGAGAGTGCAATTTCAATGACTGTTAACTATACCCAGCTATTATTCGTTATCCGTTACTCGAATAAGATATCGCTCATCTTTGATGGACTATGTCGAATCCTTGCACGGTATTTACGTGCTCAGGAGAAACTTCGCGAAGTCGGAGGTACATCTAGTGAACGTCTACGGAGCTAAGTGGAGGAAAGGCGAGTGAAACGCTGTTAGGTAGTTCGAAGGCGACGTTAAAATCTGGCATTACGTGCACACAATAGCAGAGACCACGTGAAAGGGCCAACGTCACGAAATTCACGAGAGACCCGAGCACCTTTCTTCGTCGGTGCGTTGCTCCGTTCTTGCCGCGAAAGCGGGGCCAACCGGTTTACCTGTCCACGAACCTCAACTCTCGGCTAAACGAGCCTCGCCATTGGTCGATACCTGGCTCAGCTTAGAACCGTCTTCGCCACGTCGAAGCTCGTTTGCTCCATCAAAAATTGTACTTTATACGTAATTGTACTTTATACAAGATTCTATTTTGATAACTGAATTAATTTTAATTTGGATTAGTGCACAAAAAATAAATTTTACTTTTATACGCTTTGCTATACAGGCTGAGGCATTTAACAGGTCACTTGAATAATTCGCTTATTTTAGGTATAGAAAAAAAAAAGCGTCAGTTTTAGTCAGCCTGTGTAACCTCAGGTCATTGTATTCGTTTTGAAATGCTCTATCAGAATGTGTATAAGAAACTATATCATTCTATATAAAAAAAAACAGTCGACTTTCATATCTCTTCTATTCATCCACCGATAAAAAAGTTATTGGCACCATGCTACGTTCTCCTCGAAATCAAACAACTCTTGTTCGACACTTTTTTTTCTATCGCTAAAAGTAACCGAATTATTCAGTTGGACTGTTTTAAATGCCTCACCCTGTATATGTATATCTGTTTAGACATCTGAGGATGTGTGAAAAGTTTATAGATCTATCATCATTGAAGTACACAGTGTGTTCTACGTTTAAACTGATTCAAGTTCTTGATCTGAATAAAATCTCTTCGCGTTAATGAATTTGATTTGTACTTGTTTTTCACGATTTCGTAGCAATTTGTCTGTAATTTTCAGACGTGCTTACTTTTTCAAATTAGAAATACTCGAATGATTATAGATAATCAAAGTTGGAGGAACAGGAAAATCCATGAAAATAAAATAACAAAGAAAATAAAATAAAACTTGTATATGACACATTCCAACATTTTAACAATTTTTGCCATTTGTTACTTCTCATTAAGAAAAAGGAACTTGGAAGTGACCGTTTAAGTTAAAATTTGATTTTTATAAATTTTATTATTAATTTTATTTATAAAAATCAAATTTTGAATCTTTCAATCACTGAAATCACTATTATCTGAGATACTTGTTTTCAGGATAAGGGTCGGTACTATAAAGTCTTAATAAATTTTAGTATATTAAAATTAAAGGTTACTGCATTCTTCATTAGGAAGACGAATGTGCACCTGATCGTTAACTTTCAAACGCTGTTTTGAAAAATTGTTCCATAAAGATCATATATATCTCAAAAACAAAGCGAGGCTTCCCATTCTGAAAACTTACTTCGCAATAAGTGTCCAGCCAGCAAATTTAACTTTCATCTGCGTTTCAATAAGTGGATTCATTATTGCGCTTCAAATGATTACAGTTTGGTGCTGACCATCGAATATCTATGCCTCGCAGAGCAACAGTGTGGAGTTTACGCAATTTAACTTCGAGCCACCAGCGTTCCCAATGGCCGAAAACTTCTAATCGCAAGATTGTTCCACGAGGACTTGCTCGACCGCGAGAATCAAATTGAACTCGCTCAGAAACGAGCCGCTATAATTAATCGATATCCGCGAACCTTGCAATCCTTACGATTATTAACCATTTGCCCTAAGATAGCTCTAACCTCGTTAACCCTTTGACTGCGAGACGATTTCAGCTGGAAATCCTAAGAAGCGTAGAGTTGTGAATGTTAAAAAAAATATCAGCTTATAGGAAACGATAAGATGGAACTTTTTATCTTTTACAGTTTATTCACAGGGCGTTTACTCTTTAAAATAGAAATTAAGAACGTAGAAGATCATTTTTCTATGAATTCGATTACATTTGAAATAGTGAAAATGAAAGGATGGTTAGTTGACAATTACTTATTTGTTGATATATTAAAAAATATTACCTCATAGAGGATGATAAGACGAAACTTTGATATATTTACAGTTTGTTCATAGGACGTTTAGTTTCAGTGATAAAAATTGAAAACTTTTTCCAGAAATCCAATTGTTGCAACGAACTTCTGAATTTTCAATTTTTATTTTCGAAACTAACCGTCCTATGAACAAACTGTAAATATAAAAAAAGTTTCGTCTTATCATCACCTATAAGCCGATACTTTTAAAAAATTAATTTAACAAGTATAATATATACATTTCTCTGAACCCATTTCTCGAGGGCGTATATACCCTATGTATATGCCCT